CTATAAGCTTGCCAAATTGTGTGAAGATACACAAAACATATTAAAAGTTATAGTATGGAAACTATAACATTGACTAACCCTCTAGTAAAAAGTAAATTTTAATTTTCGTAGTTTTCTCCTAAAAAAAAAAAGAAGTATTTCTCTTTTTTAGAATGACTTAAAATATCAAACTTTTCCAGGAATAAAAAAGAGAAAGTCAAATACAAGCTAAAAATTAAACTTTGTTGTATTGATAAATCATTATAACGGGTAATGATTATAATGGGTTTCTACTGAGTTGGCTTGCTGAGGTGGTTTCATGAATGTATTCATTAGCTTTTACAGCACTGATCAAATTGAAAATAACAAAAAATAACACTAAATGTACAATCTTTATGACAAATTTGTACCAAATCTCCTTAATAACATTATTATTTTTTAAATACTTAGTATTTTTAGCAAAAAATACTCTTTAATACTGGCAGTAATAAACACAGATTTATGAGTGATTAAGAAGATAATAACATTAATCATATAATAAGTTCTTTCAGCTCTTCTGAGAGGTGTTAATTTGTTTCTAACTATTAAATAAGATTGTTGAACATAAATTTATCATTTTTACTTACCGGTAATTTGGAATTCACAATATCAAGAATAGCATGCCAAAGGCTGAGGTAGTTCTGGTATGTGATCTGTCGTGGATCGTAAGTTTCAACTTCATCTTTTCGAGCTTCCACTTCAGCAACAACAGGATGAGAGCATGTTCTGATCAGGCCTTGGTAAACTGAAAAGATATTTAACATTATCTGAAATATCTTCATTAAAACAAAATACAAGTAGGGTTTAATGTAGATTGAAAGTAATTCCAATTTCTGGAACCTTCCCAATACAAAAAAATCCCAATTTTGGCCATTATTTCCCTTTTGAAATAAGCTAAGAAAATATTTTTACTGTAAAACCCAAAAAACAACAACCAATAATACATTTAATTATACTGATAACTTGTTGTTTTAATAAGAAATTTGCTTCCTAAAAGTGACAAAACACATATAATAAAAAATCTAGCTTTCATTGGTTTATATGAATTTTCTGTGGATAAACTGCTTTACAGTAAAAGAATTGTTTTGAATATCAGGATGTTAATACTATTAAAGTAGACTTATTCATATACATACACACACACACACACATATATATATATTTATTTATTTAGTTAGTTAGTTATAAGGCTGAAAATTTCTAATCATTAAAATCTGGTGAAAACATTACTAATTATGTTTTTTTTTCAACAAAAAAGTTTAGTTTTTAAATATTTCTTGACAACACACAATACCTAAATAAACTAAATTACAAAAAATAATTTTGCGTTTCTAGGATAGTTTTACAGTAGTACTAATTTTATTAGATATATTTCAGTGTTTGTTTGTTGTTAAGTACAAAGCTATACAATGGGCTATCTGTGCTCTGCCCACCATGGGTATCAAAACCCAATTTTTAGTGCTATAAGCTCTGACTAGCTGCTGAACCATCTTTGGGCATAGTTTAGTGTAAAAAGTTGTTGTTTTTATCACAAAACCAATTTTTCTACACATCTGTTTCATAATGTTGAATATTAAGCATGATCATCAACGTTTGAATAACTAATAAATCATAAATTACGACATTAAACCATGAATTCCACTATAATTTATCAAGCTTAGTACCTAAGATGTATTTTAGTCTAAAAAAAAATATGAAATTTTGAGCAGACTAAAGACACACCCTACCTCATTGAAATATTGGTTCAAAAGAAACAAATGGCAAAAAGTCTGTTAAAATGACTGAGAAAGCCACTAAGGGGACATTCTGAGCTTCCAATTGGTTATACATGTCATATATAGAAGTAAGATTATATAATGGAGCGTTTCCAAAAATGGAAAGAGGTGAGCAGGGTGCCACTGTGTTTGATTTATTACAAGATATCTTAGCAAATATGAAAGATAAGAGGCTCTTTATTTATATTCTAGCTTGTCAATATTGGTTATTTGTTCGAAACTATAGACTTAGTATTTTGCCTTCACAAACGTTTAATTTGAACCAGTGCTGCATTCAACATACCACATGACACATAAAAATCAATGTTTATCTGTTGTTGTTTTTATATTTGCTTTTAAATCAAGAAATTGAGTAATATATAGTCTTCAATTTGATACCAAAGTTATTGACATAAATTCATGAAATAGTAGTTCAATAAAATTTTGAATGCGAGTCAACAAACGAGATGACATGACCTTTCACCCGTGACACGTCTCGAAAGGGTTAAGCATGAAATAGCATTAGTTCTGTTAAAAACTAAAACATTCACCGAGAACGAGATTTAATACCCCTTCACATATCACTTTTTTAAATTCCCATACAACTTTCAATGCAGTAGACTTTTCAGCAAAATTGTTTTTACGGGCTTCAAAAAAATAAAAAAAAAGAAATTTTCAATAAAAACAGTTGATGTACAAATCACAATGATGCTTTATAATTATAAGTGCTTACAGTTTCACTAAAAGATTAAAATTTTTATTCATTTTTATATGCCCCCCAGTGGCACAGCGGTATGTCTCCGGACATACAACGATAGAAACCGGGTTTCGATACACATGGTGGGCAGAGTACAGATAGCCCATTGTGCAGCTTTGTGCTTAACTTCAAAACAAACATTTTTGTATACTTACCTATATTACCCAAAAACCTTTTAAAAACTGCTTTTTTAGGAGCAAAGGCAAGAAGTGTTCTTATGATAGATCTGTAACTAAGAAAATGATGTACATCTGCTAGTTGAGGATAGTGTTCAATTTGCATCACCACCAGTTTCACAACTCTTTCAAGGTGAGTTTCTGAAACCTAGAATTCAAATATTGTTTAATAATACAAGTTCCATTAAAGCACAATTTAAAAGCCTGAAATTTAACAGTTTTAAATAAAAACTGAATTTTTAGGAAATGAGTATATGAAATGAAATAAACTGTATTATTCATTACTTGCACACAAAAAATTATAACTACAGCACTATCATATTAGAATTAAGGAAAAAGGAAATCTGGCATCACACTCTTAGATGCAAATTATATAATGTTTTTCTTCCTTTTTGTATTAAATTATTACAAGTAGAATTACAAATTCACGTGTTTAAGTTACATAAGCTACATTACAGATTTTGTATTTGGCAATATTACACATAATTTCATAGTTTGCACATCGTTAAAGATCACATTTTTGCTTTACACTTTTTTAAACTGTTTACATTCATAATAGTAAAACATAACTGTAAAAATCTAATTCACTTTCATAACACACTATCATATTTATAGACATTTTGATCAATCAAACTATTAATTAATATTTAAAAAAATACTCAGAGCTAGCTATTTTAAATTAATATTAAAAATACATTTTGTCTTTTGTAAAAAATTCACCCTTTAAGAGCACTATACTCTCTGGGATGCAAGTAACATTTTGCTTTTGCTTTTAAAGTTTGAAATATATTGTTCTTTGAATATAATTTTAAAAGAAAAACTAGACAGAAATTATGAATATTGTTTTTACTTATCACAGAATATTAATTCCTTTAAATAAAAGTAAAACCTTGTAATATTTAATGCCCAATTATCAGAAAGAAACAATAAACAATTAAAACCACCAACTGTGAAAATAATGAGATTTTCTCAGAAAAACTTTTTTTTGCTCTACTTCCTTATAAAATATGACCTTATCTGGTTTGTTTTCAAAATGTAGTGTTTGCTTAAAACGTATTAATAGAAAAGTTTACAAAGATGATTTTGAAATTGAAAGTATATTTGTTTCTAAATAAAGAAGAAATATAATTTACTGTCATATAAAAATTTGCTAATTTATAAGTCCATGGTACTTGGAGTTGTTAGAAAGTGCCTTTCAAGCAACTGCAAGTGAGTTAACTCTTGAACTCAGTTGATAGAATACTTCCTGGTTGTGCAAACTGTCCCAAAGTGGAGTTCATCCCACAACTTTGGGATAAAGACCAAGCATGGGCCTAGTTTGTAAGATGAGAAGAATTTGGTAATTATAGCTGTTGAAATGTAAATCAGTTGCTAATGGGTTAACCCTTTAGCATAACTGAGAGTCGAAGAGATCTCAAGTTCCAATCCAAGCCAATGAAATAGGTATAAAACTTAGATTATCACAAGTCCAACAAAAATTCTCACATTAAATATCAACTATATATATTTTAATTAATGTATGTTATGGTCAGTAAGAGTGTTCTAAGAAAATCACAGCATACGACAGGGCGTCTGTTTGAAATGCAGTTAATAATGAGTTTAGTTGGCTGGGATCATGCATAGCACAATCATAACTTTGAAGAAATATTAAAGCACTTTTTTTGTTAAATTTAAAATTTGGAACTTAAAAGAAATTTTCAAGTACTTATTCAACATATTTCAAGGACTTGTTCGACATAATATGTTATGGCAAATGTCACAATACCCAGTATACATTGGCAAAGTACTCTATTTAGTTGCAAAAACTGTAATGTAGAAATACTGGTAAAGATTACATAATAAATTTTGAAACACCTAGCTAAAATCTGCAAAGAATTGTGTGGTGGAAATGTGTAATACCTGCTATTTTACCATGACTCAAGATACATAATACTTAATATAAAGAAAAGAATGCAGTAAAATAAATCCAAGTCTGATATTGAAATTTATTGATTTGTTTGTTTGTTTTGAATTTCGCGCAAAGCTACACGAGGGCTATCTGCGCTAGCCGTCCCTAATTTAGCAATGTAAGACTAGAAGGAAGGCACCTAGTCATCACCACCCACCGCCAACTCTTGGGCTACTCTTTTACCAACGAATAGTGGGATTGACCGTCACATTATAACACCCCCACGGCTGAAAGGGCTAGTATGTTTGGTGTGACGTGGATTCGAACCCGCGACCCTCAGATTACGAGTCGAGCGCCTTAACCACCTGGCCATGCCGGGCATTGATTTGTTTGGTTTGCTTTAGATACAGGCAGAGGTTAGGAAGCTAATCAACAGTACTCTCCACAAATTTCTAGCCTACTTTAAATTATAGTTGGATATAGCTATAGCTCTTATAATGCATACATGGCCTAAAAGTGCAGAGCATGATTTTATTTGGTGGCACTATGAACCCACTAGGAAATTCCTAGCCAATTAAAAGTATTGAAAATTATGCATTTCCATTCAAGTAAAATAATATATTGTAACTGAAAGTTTTATAACCAACTAGCTACAGCTTAAACTAAAATTCTGAAAACATTAATCACAGTTTTTGAAACCATCATGCCTGAGAACAAAGCTTTCATTTTTCCATATATGTGCATCAAAAATAGAAACTATTCTAAGGTTTATTAACTATTGCAAAATCTAGGAAGAAAATTCACAAACTCATTTCACCCAAAAATTGAAATCACTTAAGTTTTTACTTAATGAACCCCATGTTGTTGTTATTTCAACTCTCTCAACACTGGCTCGGTCAATATAACTGACCACGTGACCTCTTTGTACTCATTTAGAATCTTTATATATTTAATACTTCTAACTTTCAATATAGTGTGTATATCTTTAAGTTAACAATACAAGTCTTTCACATACAAAAACTAATATTTCTTAATGAAGTATTTTTAATAAACTAAAATAAAGATTTGTCCATGAATATATTGAGTATTTGATTTGAATAGTCTGTGTGCAAATTAATTTCATGTTAAAATTAAAAATACTTTTCCTCATCTCAAAAATCTCAAATTTCCTTTGTGTAATCCTTAAAATCTCCTAAATACATTTCAAAAATTGTTTTCCAGTAAAACTTTATATTTAATCTGTTATTTTCTATACCCTAACTCAAAATGGGATTGGTCAATTTGACCAACCTCGTAACCATCAAAACAAAATCGAAATAAATCTAAATTACCCATTTTTTTTTTCTAGAATGACTTCAAATTGTAACATAAAACTACATTAGTTTATCCTAAGTAGCTTTAAGCTCATAAAAGTATACATCTATTTATAATTAAATTTTATTATTATATTGCCCTTTGAACTGTGCCAAACTAATATCTGCACCATAAGTTGTAAATCACTCGGGGCATGTGCAGCTCATGTTACGCTATTGAATTACATTACCTACGTGCTGCTCATATGTGTGCCTCATGAAACATTTTTATTATATTATTATTTATTTTACTTAATCTAATCTTAACTAACCTAAAAACATCCCTACTTTTACATTTTAGTTACTTTTATAATAATAAATAAAGAATAAATATAAAAAACAAGAAATAAATTACTTACCCAATCTTCTTTTTTCTTGCTGTCGATTATACTTAAGCCTACATATTCTATACTAATGGCAGTAGTGCATTAAATAATTTTTATTTAATTAAATAATGAACCAAAGAACATAGACTAATAACATGCAAAAAGCAGCCAGTTTCCCCTAACTCTCACAATTTGTCGCTTTCTAATTATGTGACAAGAGCCGTTACAAATTCATCCAAGCTAGTCATCAACTTTCCCATGAGAGTGAAGCTTGTACTCTGAGTGAAATTAACAACTATCTGTTCAGAACATAATGTTATACAATACATCATTTGATAGATGAAAACCTTGACTTTCTATTGATTATAGGAAATATAGAACTATTAACAAAGCCTGAAAAAGAGGATGTGACAGGTAGGTGTGGAAAGAGGGGTGTGATTTGAAGGCTATAAAAATTGTGGTTTGTCTGAGCAATGACGATATTATAGGGAGCAATTTATGTTTGATTCCGCACATTTTGAATGGGTGGTGGATAAAACAGAGAAGAGAAGATGCCTAGAGAAAATGTGTAACACTAGGGAAAGTTCAGGATTTTAAAAATATTTCCTTATAGAATCAAAAACTTAAAACTTATATACTATTAAAATATGGATTATTAGCTAAGTGTTTATGCCATATTAATTAATATAACATATATAAAAAGTAGTTTAATAAAATTTTGACTGTAAGACACTAAAATTTTCTGTCATGAGTAGTAAATGATACCCGGGGTGAAAGGGTTAATACCCCAACTTTGTTCTAATTACATCTATACATTAATAAATAATGTTATAATGATGTGGTAATTTACAACTGCAACTAGTAAGGAAAAAAAAACAAAGACAATGTACTAGAAAAAATCAAATTTTCCTACCTCATTCAATTGGCTAATAATACTTGCTAAAGCTTCCAGATAGCTTGGCAGTGTTTGGATCTTTTCTTCCAAAAGAATCTCCTCACTAAAGATAAGTTGTAACCACTTTTAGTAAAACTAGTAATACTTGCAAGAACTAAATGACACATTCAGTATAATAGCTGTTGTCCAGCTAGACAAGGAATCCAGAGTAATTTACAATATAAATTACAAGAGGAATATAAATCCACTTCTGATATTTGATACAAAGTAGACTAGCAATAATCTAATGTTATTTTTTTATAAAACGAAATGCAATATGTAAAAACTTTTAATACAAAAGTCACAAGAAAATAATGTCATACTGGTGAAGAAATAAAATCACAAACAAAAATGAGTTGAAGAAAATTATACAGGAACTATCCAACTTGAGAAAAATAATAAATCCATTGAACAAATTACAAAAATAAGAATGTATTACCTTTTTCCAATAGATATTTTGATTAAAAAAACAAGCTTAAGAGAAGGTCTAAGCAAAAATACTGTATTTAATGGGACATTTAATACAACTATGGTACAAATAGTATAAGGACTAGGTTGCATAAGATGGGTAAAGTGCCTATTGCTGGATTTCTACTATTTTTGAACTTATTCAACCAAGCAAGTAAATACAACAGGCTCTCACAGAACTATATTTATCTTGATAAGACTTCCAAAAAGTTATTACATTCAACACGGTTACAAGTTCCACGATGGTAATTAGTTTGAGTCATCAGAGGTGTCATCTATAATGTCTTCTACATCATGTAGGACAGCAAGAATGAATGCTGGTCTCTTGAAGTAATTTCCTCATGACAGTAAACCACAAGACAGATGCCATGTGAGCACAAAACTCCAGAACTCTTGCCACAAACCTGCACCCTGCTAAACAATGGGTGGATTAGAATTGGCAGAATACTATTTACTGGACACATGCCTTGACTGAAGTTTTGCTAGTAACAGAGTACCATTTTCCTTGTTGACCCAGATATGATAAAGTCCCTCTTCAGAAACGTGTTTATGGGTGTAAGAACATCTTGAACTAGGAGTGTATGGATTGCTAGAAGAATGGAAGTTTCTTTCCAGGTGTATGGATAGCAATGTGACAAGTCCTCATTGGCTGACAAAGTTAAAATGCATACAACAAATTGGACAAAAACCATCAATATGTATGGTTGTATGACTGCCTATATAGATAATACTGTATTCACTACCTTAATTCTTGTATAAGTGAATGTATTGCTCTCTATATGATGGTTATCCTAATTTGTATATTGGCCTTGCCAAATATTAGCAGTTAAAATGTTTGTAAAACATTTACTGGACTAGAAACAATCTCAACTCTTTATTTAACATAATGTTGTTTACACAACTGTAACCAAAATGATTTTACAGTGTATCATGAACTTATGATAATGAAGAAACACATCGAGGGATGGAATCCACCCCTGAAACTGGTATAACTTGCTGAATGATATATTAGGTTGACATTGCAGCGTCGAAACATGTAGAATCGTCAACTTTTTGAAGGCCATAGATAGGCCTAAATAAAATGTTTTTAATTGTTTACCAGTTTAACACTGAATATTATTTATGATTTTAACTTTATACACAAGTGCCAAAATACAAGAATTAGGTTTCATATTTAGTTTCAACATAATAAAAGTAGTTTTTCCTTAAAGACTGCAATGTGTTAAAAATACTTTTAAAGTGTGGAAACTGAATAAAATATATAAGCAAAAGTATAAAATAAAGGTACAGGTAAGTAGTTCGTTTTTGCATATTTCCTCTACGTACTTTATCCATCTCATAAGTTGTTTGTTTGATTAATGCAAAGCTACACAGTAGGCTATCTACAGTCTGTTCTTCACGGGGAATTAAACCCTGCATTTTAGCATTATAAGTCCATAAACTTACAGTTAACCCACAAAGGGACTGATCTTATGATACTTAGTCCTTTAAACTTGGGTATCAACACATGATGTTGGCAAGTTTGAAAACAAAGTATAAATGTTTTCTTACTACACATGTGGTTTTTATTCTCTATAATTTGATGGTCCTGAATTTTGTGTAAATTAAGATATAACTAACAGACCAGATTGTTGAATAACAAATATTAGGTATGGGTAATTACTTCAAATTTCAATAGTTCAAGAAGATACAGTTTGTCTCTAAAGAGCACAAAGATATTTAAGTGGGCAAGAATCCATACTATTTCATAACTTTCCTTAAGACTTTATAACAAAGAAGCCCACACTAAGGAAATAGTAATATAAATTTGGCACTTACTTTTTTGTCATTGCTAGCTTCTGTTTTTGAAGTATTAAACTTAATATGTAAATTCAATTTAAAATGAAGGTACTTAACTAACAAATCAATCCAGCTATTTGAGGCTTATTTGTCCTTATTCCATTAGGTTTTAAGTTGGGTACCAATACTTTGGAACTTATTTTTAATCATCATTTTATATATTTTTTGAAGTCTAGTGTTTTTTAAGCAATCTATAAATACCAGATATACTTACATTGTATGAAATAACCATTATTAAAATCAATGCACCCATATTAAAATAATCTAATTTTGAAATTACCTAAACTCTAAAATGCAATGAAAAAAAAGGGGGAATTTCTTGCTCCTAATGAATAGTCTCTGTCAGCTTTCAACTATTATTAAATAATCTTGAATAGCAAGTATTCAGAACTTTGATCCTATCTGCTTAGAAAACAATTTTCAAGACTCTAAATTAAAAAAAATTACAAAATCAAATAATTTTGTGGCAATTCTACTGTTACGGCAAGTAATCATCCTGAAATATGTTAATTCCATTGGATGTTATTTTCATACTTAAACTGAAGAGAAAAGTTACAGTTATTAATTATTTTATCCAAACATTTGGTCCATTAGACAGAACTTGTATTAGAGAAGGAATTTGGACTATAATTGCAAATTTATTACATATACCTACATGAGACATGGCAAGCTGTTAGTAAAATGTACAAGTCTGTTGTGAACAACAATATCTGTACTCAATATATGTCTGTGAATCAACAACATCAGTCTGACTCCGACAATGATAATTTGGAGTGCAAATTGATGTTTATGTAAAAAATAAAAATACTTTTGTCCATCATGCAGTTTGCATATTGCATGAGTATAGTCTCTAGAAACTCTGAAATGGATATCTACAGTTTTTTTTCAGTATTCCTGAATATCGTATCTGGTATTTACTCTCCTTTGCCACAACTGTTGCTAAATCAACAACGTAGTGTAAAACTAATAGTTGACAACTCTGACATCAAATACTTAATACCACACTGAATGACACTCAGTAAAAGCTTGTGTGTGATATGTACACTTTGATCCCCATCCATGCACAGAGGGTTAACTTTCTCTAATAGAGAACAGATTCTATATGTACTACCTCACTATAAAACAACAGAGACACCTATCAGAATGACATCTTTGTATTAATCATTCAACAGACCAGTTCACATGATCACCTAACTACATCCATAAAACTTAAAACAAGAGCAAATAGCTTGAAATTCCAAGTAAACCAGTTTGTTGAAAAGGTAAATCTGAAGCATAAAATTGCGAAAGGGTGAATTATACCTATTTTATGTTTGAATTAAAATATTCAAATATATGCTGTTGAAAAGAACAGTTATTATATTTTATCTTTTCTAAAACACTGATTAAAATTATTTAATACTAGAAAAGCATCGTGTTTAATTTTTTTATATGTGATTTCCTTTCTTGTAATATATATATGACAAATTTATAGTTTTAATTAATATATATATCATAAAAACTACATAAAACTCATAAAAAAATTCTAGAAACATATTCCATTTTAATATTTAATACACTTCTTTGAACATACATACCTAAGGTAAAAATGTTCACTTCTTTGAAGCATATCGTTTTGCATAAATTTCACATCCTCCTCTCCAAGGTATAACTTACAGGGCTAATAGAAAACATGAGTAAAAGAGAATATACATAGTTGAATAATAAAAAGGCACATTTGTTACAATTAGCAGGCTTAAACTGTATTATTACGTCATGTTTTATGCTAAAAATGTACATATGTCTGCTGCTGCAATTATAAATTTCACAAATTACAGGTTGAAATTGGCTACTTTTAACAAAATCTCTCTTACAGAGGTGATATAATTGATTAAGACCTACACATTGCTACCTAACAATTGAAGATAACCTTGTATTTAAACTGAGAATGTGTCACTGGCCACAGTGAATGTCTGCTTCAGCAATCATATGTATGACAGCTATAATTAAGAACTGAATTTGATATTTTAAATGAAGACAAAAAAAAGAAACTCTTTACGTATATAAATACACTTTCTTTTTCGGGCTGAAGCATGAACAAACAGGCTGTTGTGAGCTACTAAAGACTCTTTAAGCAACTATACAGATTTTAAAGGCTCACTGGAAGGCCTGCATATGTACAAGTCAATCGACAGTATTTTAATAAAAGTAAAAAAACATCTAAAAATCTGGTGAAGTGTATCATTCTCCAAGTGACTCACATGAGGTATGTTGACAATAAATATCTGTAAACATTAACACATTATGTGAACTCATTAATGCTGTAAATCTATGAAAAGTTAGTAAAGGAGCATAGAGAATCAGTTAATACAAATACATTGTATACAGTAGAGATGGCTGACATAAGTATTAAAACTTTAATTTAAAATGCAAAACAAGTAACAACGTTTCAAACTCCTTCAAAAGTCATTCTTAACCTGATGATGACTTAAAGAGGTTGACACATTGCTACTTTTGTATTTTAAATAAAAGTTTTAATACCCATATCAGCCATCACTATTATATATTTACTTCAAATGGGTTCCTAGTCATCACAGATACAATGTTAAACAATTTAATAAATTTTACACTAACAAATTGCTGACAGTAAACTCACTTTCATTTTCTGATTATTAAATTAGTTTTATTGAAAGTTTTAATTTATTTTGAGATAGAATAGGTAATAAAAAACTTTACATCCCTAATATGTTGTGAGAAACTTAAGTTTTGGCATAGTTTAATCATTTCCCTACAAACAGACTTCTCTTGGATGATATATAATCATTAGGACTGGTATTAAACAAAAAGTCAACAAATTTTACAATTACTCTGTTTGAAATTTTAAGGTAGATACACATCACTCAAAATGAAAAGACTGTTGTTTTTTTAATGCTAAGATAATTTCCAGAAACCTTGAGAAATTAATTTTTAATTAATCAAACTGCAGTTTTAGTTTTATGCTAAAAGTCCAGTGAAAATTTACACAAGATACATACACCAGCAAACAGCCCATATCCTCGAACTGCAACTGAAAGATCCCTGGAGTCTGATTTATTATCCCTCATACACTGCTGGAAAGCTGTTATGAAAAACTGGTAAAACAAACAAACAAAATTTAATCAGGTGTAACTGTAGTCCATTGATGAAGATTATTTCCTGTTTTTAAACAAAAGGACAGATAGGGTGCTGAGATTCGACACAAAACTACAGAATTACTAACTAAATCTCTCTTTAAATAAATAGTGCATTGAATAAATTACTGACAAAATTTCCTTTTAAGTATATAATGGATCCAATAAATTACTGACAGAATCTACCTTTAGATACATACTGAATCTAATAAATTACTTACAGAATCTAACTTTAAATATATAATGGATCCAATAAATTACTGACAGAATCTACCTTTAGATACATACTGAATCTAATAAATTACTTACAGAATCTAACTTTAAATATATAATGGATCCAATAAATTACTGACAGAATCTAACTTTAGATACATACTGAATCTAATAAATTACTTACAGAATCTAACTTTAAGTATATAATGAATCCAATAAATTAATGACATAATCTACCTTTAGATACATACTGAATCTAATAAATTACTTACAGAATCTAACTTTAAATATATAATGGATCC